ATTACTTTTTTGGGGAAGTAATCAGTAATTAATTACTGATTACTTTTTTCAAGTAACTTGACCAACACTGATCGTGACAACCATGTTGTGTATATGTAGTAAAAGTACTACTTAAATGAGGTTTAGCTAGTAATTATATTTGGTGAGTTTTTGTGTCCCGGTGACCATCAAAATTTATACTGAGGCTTTCTCTCCAATCATTTATATAAGGACTTCATTTAACTGCCTCGAGGTGTTGCCAAAATGGCCACAGAGTTGCAAGAGTTGCTTCTAGGAAGACATTGGCTCTAGTATCCAGCTTGTCTGATAGCCTATATAGACCATTTGCACAAATGTATTAGTGAAAATCTGGTACGTCTGGTGAAGTGAGTTTGAACTCAGAGGGGTCAGTGTGGGGTCAGTCTGTTCTAGATGGGTGAAAGGATAGTAACTGAAGTCAGCTCTGTTCCATGGGCTATGACCCAAATAGAGACCCCTCCTTCGTAGGCTTTGGTGTGTTGGCCCACCAGCTGACCAGAGTTATGTTTGAGGGCAGGGAAGGAATCATGAGCTGGTTCTGTCAAAAGGAAAGTACTTCATCTCTCCTGCCATATCCATATCTGTCTGCCTCTGCCTTTTAATACGCAGATTCTGTTACTTTATGCTGTAATGGTGAGTAAGCATGTACAGTGCTGCAGCATGTTTTTGTGTGCTTGTCAGTGCAAAAGAACATTTTGATCATATTAAATTAGTCACGTTACAGCAGCCTGTGTCATAGGACAAGTATGTGCTTTTAGTGAATTACCCATCTGGAAGACTTTTACTGAAATAAGTCTGATGGACCTTTTTGTTTGACATGTTGTAAATCAGTAGCAAGTGGGACATGAAGATGAGGTCAAATGAAGTCCAGAAGTCAATTTTTAATGTTTAATTCATTTGGTTTTAACTCTGTTAATATTTATTTTTATGGTACTGAATTATGAGTCACAGACCTAGCATGAAGGTTGTCTTGTCATAGTGCCATAGGTGTTGCTATTAATACTCACTGGTCTGTGGTGCAGGGCTCTACACAGGCAACACCAGTGGGCCTTTACCATAGCATCAGTCTTTGCTTTTACGTGTTGACTGTGTTTTCACAGATTTTTTTTTTTTTACCATAAACATAATGTAGTGGCATGTTTTCTGTTTTCTTCCACAGCCCAAACTTCTTACATGTTTTACTATGGAATAATTAATTAAAAATTTGATTCACCTTCTGTAGAAGATGTTTTTAATTGAAAGAATTTGATGCCACAGTTGCGGTCCAGCCCAAAAGTTATAATCACTGTTTTCTATTTTAGGTTTGAGAAAATCCACTAAGAAGCGCAGCGAGTCTCCTCCAGCAGAGCTCCCCAACTTTCGGCGGAGCACACGCCAGAAGACCACGGGCTCCTGTGCCAGCACCAGGTACACTACAGTGACAAAAAACAAAAATGCATGTTACTTCTGGATATTTATTTTTGAGGAATGTGGACATCATTGAAGCTATACTAAAGTTAAGAAATGCATATTCATGATTTATTCAGCATCTAAAATGATTGCAGTCTAACTTTAATAATGAGACCTAGTGCTGTGCTGTCAGTCTTTTCTCTTAAGCCAGAATGATGAAAAGAGACTTTTGGTCATGAATATCTGTCTAGAAGTTGGTCTATAAAGGTTATCTGTAGACAGATCATTAGTGGTGGCCTTTATGTGCCTTTGTCTCTGAGGGTCCCTCACCTGGTCCACTTATGGTCAAGTGTTGGTTGGTACCTTTGGTCCTTCACAGCTTCACAGAAAGTTCTTCCTGTAGATCGCCCAAAGCAGACCAAGGATTGTGTTGCTACTTGGACCTCTTTGTGCCTCTGTCTGCACCTGCAGAACTCTCACAGAGGCTAAGGTGCCAAACGCCAACAGTAGTTGGCATTTCAGAATAGGCTTTACTAAAAAAAACCAAAAAAAAAAAATACACATCTGCTAGTTTATGCCATTTCTCCTACCGCCTGTTTCTTTTCTATTTCCCCAATAGGACATTAAACTCTTAAAAATTATAAAAGCTAATTTACATCCTGGAGTCCTGCTCTCAAAAATTGACAAATGTGATGCTGTCTGTGATGCTGGATTTAAGAAATAAGCGCTTAAAGATTTGAGAACACGTGTAGTGCCATGTTCTGTCAGGACAGAACGTTAAGTCATGTGGTTGGTTGGCTGGTTTGCGGCTAATAGACTTCTATTAGTTTATGTTAGCTAACCAGAGACAGAAACTTAGTGAGAATAAGGACACTAAAACTTAAAAAAAAAAAATCACTTGTACAGCCCCTAGATGATGCAATCAGTTCTATGGTAAGAAATCCAGCTTCACAGACAGTGTATCTATGTTATGTTATATCTAGGTCTACATTGTATCTATTTCAGTTTTTGAGAGCAGGGCTCCATGATGTAAATTAGCCTTTATATGTGTAGTGTTTCATGTCCTCTTTAAGGTTGGAACGTTTACTATATTACTGTAATGAATAATCATGGTAAGTAGTTGCTAAACAATTTTTTCATTCATTGGACTCAACGCACCCAAACACCTTAGCTTACATATATTAAACTCTTAGTTGTAGTCTACTGTGACCTAACTGATGCCTTGTTGCTAGTGTGACTGCTTTATTCAGATGGATGGCCAAAGGGTTGAGTTTAAACTTTTTATCAGTTTGCATATTAAAACTTTTAAATAACAAAAGATGAAAACTTAAAGATCACTTGCTTTATTTCATGATGTTACACCAATGTTGCCATTTTAAAATCTGCTTGGTCTAATGATATTTTATTTTAAAGCACACGCCTCATCAGCTCCAGTGTCTGTCAGTAGCAGAGCTCCACCCAGACTGAACTGGATGTGAAGCCACTTCTCATCAAAACAGAAAAAACTACTCAAAGTCTGTTACGGTTTCAGTAAAAAAAAACAAAACAACAACAAACATCAAGGCTGAAACGATTTTGTACAAATGCTATCATTGTCTTTGTTTACAGTTCATTTAAGCTGAGCGGGTTAGCAGCTTGTATCAGCTGAGTGACCTTAAATAATCAATATTTAGGTCTGCAAATTGGCATTTTGGAGAAAAATGTCTCCATCACAGAAGGTACAAACTGGTATTTTATTGTGTTTATAGGTCAGACCAACTGACCCCAATTGATTTTACCACCCTTTACAACATGAGGTGGCACAGCAACCCTGCACAATGTACATGGTTGGCAGTATGCCCATGAGTTTAACTTGAAAACTTCTAACGTGCATTTGATAAAAGGGCAATAACTATGCATGGAAGCCTCTGTTTCCATTTATATTCTCCTGCTTTTGCATGATCCAAATTTACCATAGTAGAATCACTAGCCAAGGGAACCACTGCTGTGTATTCGTATGATACTGAATGCATTGCAGTTTGACACTATAAAAGTATAATAATCAGAGTCTCTTTGTATGCATGTAACAGTCGGCGGGGCTCAGGCCTGGGCAAGCGCGGGGCAGCCGACGCTCGCCGACAGGAGAAAATGGCCGACTCCGACAACAACCAAGATGGGGCCAACTCATCAGCCGCTCGCACTGATGATGCGTCACAAGGGGCTTCAGGTACTTTCGCTAACAAATTAAGATTACTTATTGCAACCAGAAATAACTCAAATGTTGGAATGATGTGTGATTGGGGTGTAGATAAACATGTACTAAGAGGTTTTTCTAAAGTAAAAGGTGAACTACTAAGATTTCTGCTCCGATCTTTCTCATAATTATAGACTAGAAAAGTCGGACTAACAACACAAATGTATACTCATCATGTTTTTATAATAACTCACATTGCAGTTTGAAAATGTCAGTTAATTATTCACTTCATTATTCAAATAAGCTTCCTAACTTTATTAGGAAGATGATTCCGATTTCGATTTCATTTATGTGAAGATGGAAAAGTTAACAGAATTATGGCCATTTGATAGATTGTTTTCACTTCAATAAAAAAATTTAAAAAATGAATTTTTCGGTTTATTTCCAGCGTCAAGCTCGGTTGCTGGAGCAGTGGGCATGACCACCTCTGGTGAGAGTGAGTCTGATGATTCTGAAATGGGAAGGCTTCAAGGTATGTTAAAACCACCTTAGAGATTTCTCATATTACCAAAAAGTATTTGACCTTTTAATACATAAAGCTTTGTATGTCCTTTAGCTCTACTAGAGGCCAGAGGTCTCCCTCCACATCTTTTTGGGCCCCTGGGACCCCGCATGTCTCAACTCTTTCACAGGACCATAGGCAGTGGAGCCAGTGAGTAATGTCTTCTAACATTGACATCAGCGTTCTTGTTACACTCAAAATATTTTAATAAAAAAATAAAAAAATCCCTCCCTTGTTTTCAGGTTCCAAGGCTCAACAGCTTCTGCAAGGCCTCCAGGCCACAGGTGACGAGTCTCAGCAACTCCAAGCCGCAATAGAAATGTGCCAGTTGCTGGTGATGGGCAATGAGGAAACACTTGGTGGATTTCCTGTGAAAAGTGTGGTGCCTGCCTTGGTAAGTCCTATTTTCTTTGGCTGTTTACCTTCCTGTACTGCACAGCCCTGTTTCCTGGTTTTGAAGCAGTGTCTCACCTATTCATTATTTTACAGGGAAAAATTCCTCCCACAGTTATGGGCAATGTAAATATTGGTTGACAGAAAATCAGTTACTTTTTGTTTTTTAACATGTATGCTATTTAATTCCATGTAACTGCTTGCTCTTTCGCAGATTACACTGTTACAAATGGAGCATAACTTTGATATTGTGAGTATGACTGGCTTCTGTTATTTTAAATGTCATTGGTTTTACTTTTTGTTTGGCTGGGTGGGCTCATGGTGGGAAGGGGGGGCATGCAACTGATTATATTCACATCCTTGCTCTGCGCACACAGATGAACCATGCCTCGCGTGCACTCACTTACATGATGGAGGCACTCCCTCGATCTTCTGCTGTGGTGGTCGATGCCATTCCTGTCTTCCTGGAGAAGGTAAAGCTTGGCATTTTGTCAGTAATCACTTGTTAATTCATAACGGTGACCTTCTCATATGCTAATGGATTGTTCGGCTTTCTTGTCTGCAGCTTCAGGTGATTCAGTTCATTGACGTAGCAGAGCAGGCCCTGACTGCCTTGGAGATGTTGTCAAGGCGACACAGCAAAGCCATTTTGCAGGCCGTAAGTGATACGCTGTCTTTTTGTTGTGCCATTAATTTGTCTTTTCTCTGCAAGCCGCATTTAGTCGTAATGATCCTCACCTGTCATCCCTTATAGGGTGGGCTTGCTGACTGCCTCCTGTACCTGGAGTTCTTTAGCATTAATGCTCAGAGGAATGCCTTGGCTATTGCAGCCAACTGCTGCCAGAGCATTACTCCAGATGAGTTCCACTTTGTTGCTGACTCTCTGCCACTGTTGACTCAGAGACTTACTCATCAGGTACAGTTTTCATATAAAGGATATTGATCTGACATTAGCAACAACGGTACATTACGTCTGTGATTTGGGTTAAGCAGTGAGGTCATTTATTTAGTTTAATGTGGTAAATCTGTTACTTATCCACCGTTTATTCCCTTGCCTTTCTTAGGATAAGAAGTCAGTTGAAAGTACTTGTCTCTGTTTCGCCAGACTGGTGGACAACTTTCAGCACGAAGAGGTCTGTACCTCAGTTTGTTTTTGGTAGACCATGTTTGCTGTTTCAGTTGTTTCTTGCCATTTAGAGATTTGTAGTCCACATGCCCACTTAATGTACATTTATGCATCTCCGTTCAAATCAACAGAACCTGTTGCAGGAGGTGGCATCAAGGGACCTGTTGACAAACATCCAGCAGCTGTTGGTAGTGACTCCTCCTGTGCTCAGCTCGGGGATGTTCATCATGGTTGTGCGCATGTTTTCACTTATGTGCTCCAACTGTCCATGCCTGGCAGTCCAGCTTATGAAACAGAGTGAGTAACATTTGCACATAGGTCACACATTAGTAGGCCCTCTGACAGTATTGGCTTTTTCCTTTTTGGTTTTACAGTGTATTTACTTTACGGGATAGGATATTTTTAATAGATTTAAGAGTTGCTAGTTACTAGATACAGTCTGGTAACTTGTCCGTCCCCCCCCCACCAAATTAGAGTCAGTTAATTAAAGTCAATCAAAAGCTGCGATTTTCACATTTCAATTCTGGTAAAAAAAAAAAAAAGAAAAAGAAAAAACAAATGACAACAGGATTTCAGAATTCATATCTTTGAGCAGTAATCGGATCAAACCGTTGAGCGAGAGGGAGTAGCACTAGGTATTTTAGATGTTTTGACTTTTGGATTTTTTTGTAATTTTTATATTCTAAGGTCTAAGATTCATGCCACACTACAGTTATTGGCAAAATCAAGATCCAAATTATGACTGCCTGTCAATAGTGATCCTGCTAACAGCTACATCAACCTACATGATAAAGCTTTTTGCTGTTTCTCATCTTGTGAACTTGCAGTCTTTATTTGCCAGCAAACCAAACAGATGTGACACTAAACATGTACTTAATGCTATTTTTGTGAATGTTTGCAGTAAATGATTTACAAAGAATTGCCATGTCTTGAAATTAATTTATTTTATTCATTGCGCAACCCGTTGATTTATTTTTATCAGTAGTGTTATTATGGTTTGTATGAACTTGAAACATAACACTTAACACTTGTTTTTATCTTTTTTTTCTTCTAATTAGACATAGCAGAAACTCTGCGTTTCCTTTTGTGTGGAGCGTCAAATGGCAGCTGCCAGGAACAGATTGAACTGGTACCCCGGAGCCCCCAGGAGCTCTACGAGCTGACCTCACTCATATGGTATTGTTAAGGTCACACTGGGCAGTGTGGCAAAAATTAAAGACTAGCAGACATACAGACACCTGTGTGTGTGTGTGTGTTACTAAACGTGCATATCTTTCTCATGTAATTTAAGGAATCTTCCTTAAAACAACAGCTTATTACTTTGTGGCATTTTTGTCTATAACAGTTTTGTAGCATTGGGTAACCTCTGTATTTTCCCTTTCAGTGAGCTGATGCCCTGCTTGCCCAGAGAAGGCATCTTTGCAGTTGATGTAATGCTTAAGAAGGGCAGTGTCCAGACAACAGAGGGAGCAATCTGGCAGTGGAGGGATGACCGCGGACTGTGGCATCCTTACAACCGCATTGACAGCCGCATTATTGAGGTATACATTACTGTGTTATTATTATGTTATGTCATATCAGTTTAGTCATTGTTGAAATTTTCTTTATTTTGTAATATATTATAATGATTTAGTAGGATGCTACAATAAAGGATAACTAAAGAATGAATAATGGATCGATTTTTAAACCTTGTGTCAGAATATTTAGTGTGTTAGGATCATGTGTGGGTATAGATCTGTATATCTCTCACTGATATTGGGTGTGGTTGTCTTGCTCTGCAGACAGCCCACCAGAACGGGGAAGATGAGATCAGCTTGTCAACCCTCGGCCGCGTATACACAATTGACTTCAACTCTATGCAGCAGATCAATGAAGACACAGGAACAGCACGTGGTATCCAGAGGAAACCTAACCCTCTTGCTAACCCCAACACAGGTATTTTACTAATGATATATGACGAAGATATGTGTGAAGAGGAGTGTATTTTAGCAGAGAATGGAATGGGAACAAACTCCTTGGGTTGACTTATTTTAGGCTTGTAAAAGGAAAAGTCCTTTGAAAATCTAAATAAGCTCTCAGTGCCTAATGAATGAAGATTTATTTTCTTTTTTTCTTGTGAGGGTGGTAGCTATAATCAGCTTGGAGTCACACAGCTATATTTCTAACAGTGACAGGTTAACGGCCCCAAAAAATAAAAGCAAAAAATCCCCTGAAACAATTCCTTCGTTGTTAAATGCAATGTTTTAGTGGTGCAGCAGCACGAGCATTTGCCCCAGATTGTTTGGTATGCTTCATTGAAATTGAATTTGTTTGCTTCAGTACACACAGTAAGCTTAACAGTTACTCAAAAAAAAAGGCAATAACAATAGTTCAGCCAGTGCTAGTATGGTCGGACACATTAGCTAAACTTAAATTTTGTAGCTACTGCTGTTATTATAGCTTAAGGATAGTGTGTGTGTGGTGGGGAGCTTTACAGCTTCCTAATTGGCCACAGCAAAAAGAGAACTAAACTATGACCCAAATAGTGAGGTATATACTAAACAACTACTATTCTCTACTACAGACTCCTGAAATATTTCATTTTATCATTATGCAGTTACTGAGTGCATATGGTTAATGGCATTAATCTGACCCGTTCCATGTCTATCATTAGGCAGCCACCAAGAGGTCCGTCGTGAAGATGCACGAGCCCAGTTGATGAAGGAGGACCCTGAGCTGGCAAAGTGCTTTATCAAAACTCTGTTCGGGGTCTTGTATGAGGTGTACAGCTCATCAGCTGGCCCAGCTGTCAGACACAAGTGCCTTAGAGCCATCCTCAGGATCATCTACTTTGCTGATGCAGAGCTGCTGAAGGATGTGCTGAGGAACCATGCTGTGTCCAGGTAAGAGTCCAGGCTACTGGCTCCTGTTAGCACTGATATTAAATCTGGTTGTGGTCTTACAGTAGGTTAAAGCTGTTGGAAAGGAAGAATTTTAAAGCAACAACAGGGCCAGTGTTGGGATTTTAAATTAAAATGACCTTTGTCTTGTGTTTATTTCTACAGTCACATTGCCTCCATGCTATCTAGTCAGGACTTGAAGATTGTAGTGGGTTCACTGCAGATGGCTGAGATCCTCATGCAGAAGCTCCCAGATGTTTTCAGTGTTTATTTCAGAAGAGAAGGTAGTGTATGATCCCATGGAGAACTGTGGATTCTTATCTGTTCATCACAGCATTAAGACAGTATAAGCATTTTGTAAAAGAAGTATGCTCTGAAGCTGTCACTTTGTGTTAGTTTTTTGTATGATGTCATAGCTAAATTAATGTTTGTGAATGCAAATTGTTAAAGCTTTAAATGCAAAGATGTTTTTAATAAGATAGTAAAATGTGACAGTTAAGGCTGACTTTACCTAAAACCTTACTATATTGCAAGTGTGGCAATGATGCATTAATGCTAATGGTTTCCTTTGCATTTTTTTCCCTGATGCATTATTCGTTGAATTGCCTGAAATGTGAATTGAGTTACAGTCCTCAGCCAGAGCTCTGTGCTGGCATGGAGCTCTGTATTGTCCTTCTTTTAAGGTTGCTTTTTTTTACAATACTTTATTTTTGTCTTCAAGGTGTCATGCACCAAGTGAAGAATTTGGCAGAGTCTGAGAGCTTTTTGGTCACTAGTCCTCCAAAGGCTTGCCCTAGTGGCACCGCCAGTCTCTGCACTACCACCATCAGCACTGCATCCACCACATCTGCTAATAATACAACTCCTGACCTGGGCTCACCCAGCTTCCAGCACAGCATGGACGACTCACTGGACCTCAGCCCTCAAGGGTGAGTTTGAGGCCATATGTGGCTTTGGTTTGGCTATCTAAGGAAACGATATAATTTTTTTAAATTTTTTTTAGCAAAGCCAAACATCCAGTGTGTATTTGGAAGACAAACTCATAAACACAAAGTAATTAAGTCATTAAGAGCAAATGTTGTTGTCAAATAGTTGTTCAACTACTTAAAAAATGTAAACTGAGTACAGATAATGTATATTGTCTGCAATTAATACATGCTACTATTTATCAAAGCATTATAGGGTATGTATGTCTGTAGTTAATGGAAGAGCAAATATCTTTAAAAATAACCACACGAGCATGAAATGAATAACTTTCTCTTGCACATAGGCGGTTAAGTGATGTCTTAAAAAGGAAACGACTACCTAAAAGAGGACCTAGAAGGCCCAAGTACTCGCCACCAAGAGATGATGATAAAGTAGACAATCAGGGTGAGTGTCCCAGACACACTTTGAGACACAAATGTGTTATAATAATTTTGTTGAAAAAGTTCTGAACCATACTCTTGAACTCAAATCAGTATGAGACTAATTATATTATACAGATTAACAACTGATTGACAATATTATTTGAATGTGTTTTTTGCACATTTGTTACTGTTTTGATGCATATGTTAAAGCAGGGGTGTCAAACATTTGCAGGCCACATTCAGCTCACTTTGATCTTAGGTGCTGTCAACACTGTGCACAATGCAGAATGGTGCGTAACAAGCAAGCAGATAGGCAGAAAAATATCATCAATTTTTGATGGGAAACTGATCTGGAAGCACACTGAGAGCAAGAGAGCTGTGCAGGAAGTGTGGTGTGGATTTTTCTTTTGTTTGTTTTGGTTGGTTGTTTTTGTGTTTGTTTTTTTCCCCCTGTTAATACAAGGGTAAGATAAAAAATAAGTCTTCTTCTGCTGCTGGTTCAGTGAATTTTTGTCAGAGGGTGCGAAACTTGCGGTTTCAGGATCTCTGAAATGTCGGTTTTCAGCTCCTGGGGGCACATCCGTGTACGTGCCGTCGGGTGAACGAGCCCACTTTGTGTTTGCATCTTTTTGTGGAATCAGTTTACCTGCTCTTTGATCATTTGGTTTTTTAGCTGTTTAGTGGTTTTGAATCCGTTTTGTGGGCTTTTATCTGAGATTTTGACCTTTCTGTGGCTACCACACATGTCTGTATTAAATTACAGATCTGGGAGTAAAACCAGATGTTTTCCCTTTCACCTCTGGGGGCATTGGGGTTCAACAGGTTAATTGTTTATTGCTTAATTACTTTTATATAGTATGAATAGCCATGAGGGAGGTTTTTTATCAGTAGGAAAAGTTGTAAAACTTTTGAAAATAAAGTCAGGTCTAGAACTTCTGCTTGTGCTTGTTTGTGGTGAGCAGCAGATCAAAGAAGTTAAGAATTATAAATGACTTCCTTGGCTGTGAGACTCATTTAAACACTGAGCCATGGCTCTGTGCCACATGCAGACATTTCTGCATCTCATCCATTCAAAGACACTTTATATAATTTATTTTATGTAATTAACACTGAACTGTAAATGTAATACTTTTTAAGGAAGCAAAGTTTTTTTCGTTCCATGTTTTCAAAAAGCCTTATTTTTATGGATTTTTCTTCTGCAAATGAGGTTTAAGGCCTGGAGAGTTGAAACCTTTTGTCCTCCACAATGGAAAATGGCAGAAAATAAAAGCGTGTATCACTTTATCCAGCTCCTAATGTCCTGCAGCCTGTGCTCGTTTCTTCATTTCCTGACACGCTGGCATTTAAATTGGGCTCCCCTGTCTCTCTGTGTACCTGGTCTGTACCACTACACTTGCTGTCTTGGAACATCTACCTCCCTTCCTCCTTTTCACACAATGGGATGATCCCAGTCTGTCTTTGCATTTGATTGGCTGGATTGCCCATCAAAATAAAGTCCCACCCCCTGCCTGCATGGATTCTCAGCAGGGCTGAAGTTTCGGCTCCTACGTACAAACGGACCATTAATAACTGACACATGAAATTATCTAGCGGGTCGGATATAATTGTAGGGCTGTACATTTGACATCCCTGTGTTTAAGTAATACCTGCCAGCTAATATTTACAGTGTTGATCAGAACCTGTTGGTGTACAGTAACTTGTGGTACACTGAATTGTTTAGTCATAATTTTTTTTGTATTAAAAAAAACCCCCAAAACCAACCCCAAATGATCTAAATCTATAATAATCAAATATTTTTTATGTTATTAGTTGATAATTCTCCTGTTCTTCCTTTCAGCTAAGAGCCCTACCAGTACTCAGTCACCCAAATCATCCTTCTTGGCCAGTCTCAATCCCAAGACATGGGGCAAGCTGGGTGCTCAGACCAACAATGCCAACTCTGAGCCCTCGCGTACAGCAGGAGTGAGTGGCCTCGCAAGGGCTCCTCCCAAGGACTCAATTTCAAATAACCGGTACGGTTGTGAGTTAACGAAGACAGCTTAGCATTGTCTTTACTCCTATATTATCCAAATCTCCCGTCGTGGGCTGAACCATCGTCCTTAACAAGTGAATTATTTATTTTGTCATTTGTAGAGACAAAATTAAGGCCTGGATCAAAGACCAAGCGACTAAGTTTGTGGAGCGCTACTTCAACTCTGAAAATGTGGATGGTAGCAACCCTGCACTGAATGTCCTCCAGAGACTTTGCACAGCCACCGAGCAACTCAACCTCCAGGTAAAACACGAGCGCTACCTCGAAAAAGAAGTTATTGAACAGCTAGCAACACCTTGTACAGGGTTTGTTTGTTTGAGGTTTTAAAGTTATAAGATGTTATAACTATAATAAGACGGTAGTTGTACTTGTTGAGTAACTATCAGTAGTTACACCCCATACCTGAAATATTTTATCATCTGATGCATTTCACAGGTGGATGGTGGTATGGAGTGCTTAGTGGAGATCTCCAGTATTGTGTCAGAATCTGATGTGTCGTCTTTTGAGATCCAGCACAGTGGGCTGGTGAAGCAGCTGTTGGTCTACCTGACCGCCAACACAGACAGAGAATTGCTGAGTCGTGATGTGCGGCTCAAAAGGTTCCTCCATGTGTTCGGTGGCTGTCCGGTGAGAGACTAAAACCTATATTATTGTTAAATTATCTTATTCTGCTCAAGTCTGAAAGTTCTGCAGTGATCTGTTTTTACAATCAACAGTTTCCTCTAATAAATGTGTTTTACAGGAAGATGGTGGAAGCATGTTTGCTGGGTTTGTTTCTAACTTCTTCTTTTTTTTTTTAAATTCCCTCATTTTGTCTCAGCCTCCAGGAATGGAGCCCATAGGTCGCCTGGATCTAGCTGAGAATGCACCTTACTTGGCCATGGTGCACAAGATGAACAGCTGTCTGAGCCAAATGGAGCAATTTCCTGTCAAGGTGCACGATTTCCCCAGTGGCAACGGCAATGGCAGCAGGTCTGTGGCTTCACATACATTTTGTTTCCAGCTGTTTGTGCACATTTTGGTGTGGTGTACTCGTTTTAATTGATATGAATCTCTCACTCTCTCCTCAGGGGATCTCAGGCACTCAAGTTCTTCAACACACATCAGCTTAAGTGTCAGCTGCAGAGACACCCAGATTGCACTAATGTTAAACAGTGGAAAGGGGGACCTGTAAAGATCGACCCTCTGGCTCTGGTGCAAGCCATTGAGCGGTATCTTGTCGTCAGAGGTGAGAGACATTTGCAGAATGTTTACGTCAACTTGTGCTTCAACCCCACTGCAGGGCCGTTTGCATTGTCCAAGAGACCAAACTTTTTTCAGCTGTTAGCCATTTTTCAGAACTTGCTGTTAGGTTGCATTGTAAATTTAAAATCTCGTCTCTACAGGATACGGCCGAATCAGGGAAGAAGACGAAGACAGTGATGATGATGGCTCAGATGATGAAATAGACGAATCACTGGTATGCGATTCCATTCATGCCAAATAATGGTTGTGCGTGTGCTTCTATATAATCCTCTGTAGATATGCATCTTTTTAATCCCTCCTATGTGATTTCTTGATTACTCAGGCAGCTCAGTTTTTGAATTCAGGCAGCGTACGTCACAGACTGCAGTTCTACATTGGTGACCACCTGCTACCGTACAACATGACGGTGTACCAGGCTGTGCGGCAGTACAGTCTGCAGGCAGAAGAAGAACGGGAGTCAACAGATGATGAGGCAAACCCACTTGGCCGAGCTGGCATTTGGACCAAAACGCACACAATATGGTATAAATAACCACTTTTTATACCAACTTAATATCTCATGACAATCAAGATTCAAAGTCTCTTAAAGGGTTTGGGGGGGGGGTGACCATGGCTCAGG